CCAAGAGTTTGTGTTGTGCATGAAATCTTATATTGGAGAAATATACTAAAAGTAAATGAGTTATATCTGTAAAGACCTATAAATCTAATAAATTAGTATTTTAAATTTAAAATGGTGTTTTTACATGTTAGGCCTTTCCTCAAGGTGCCCTGAACGCATAAGAGTACTGATATCAGATCTGATAATGATCAGCCTTGGGTTAATCTTGGCAGAGTATGAAGGTGGATTCCCATTGGAATTTCACATTCTTCATTAAGCCTTCGGCTTATGGAAGAGTACTCAAAAGACTATTGAGTTGAGCATACCCCTACACTCATAAGGAAACAAATCACCACTCACATGCATATACCCTTATACGCTCTCGTAAGGGAGCAGATAACCAGACACATGTGGAGGAGATTGTTGAGTTTGTTCACATGGTGAGGTAAATGAAATCTCATATCAGGGAAATAAAGTGAAAGTAAATGGTTTATATTTGCAAGGCTCATGAAACCAATAGACCAGTTAATTATCTAGAATGTATGAATTATTTTTTCCTTTTTTTCAACAAATCTAGAATATATGATTAAGGGGCTGATGTATTGATTGTTTATGTAGAGGTGAGAGTTGGGCCTAATGAAGATAATGGGGTTAAGTTAGTGAACCTGATGGGCTTGTTTTGAGTAACAGAGACCAGAAGGTATGTGAGATGGGGTTGTAATTCCAGATGAAATTACAGAAAATACCCAGGCCCATTACCCTTTGGTTTTTATAATTTTATTAATAATATTTGTTTTTTTATAAAAAAATAAATTTTTTTTTAATTCAGATTAAATAGCGCTTGAATTCCCAATTCTGCAACGAGAGAGACGAAAATGGAGGATTCAATCGCGACCTTCAGCAAAACCCCTGGCGTATTCTGCAACCTCCTTCAAACTAGCTGCGACGCCCTCAAGCAATCCATGGATCGCCGTCCAATCCCCCTCGGTACTTAATACTTATCACTTTCGTCTTTTTCACTCTTTCTCCATTTCCGGAGACGCGCTTTTCTTTTTCATAGTGAAATTGGTTGGTTTCGAAACCAGATTCTGCATCTTCCACCTTCGTACAGTGCCTCAACCGCCGGGTGGAAACCGCCACGGACGATCTCAGCTTCCTTGACTCCGTCTCTCTAGGTACCGTGTCCTTCGAGGGGTTGTTGCGGCAATGCTATGAGCTGTTGCAGTAAATCTGAATTCCAATTGCCAAAGCTTGCAACTCCAAGATCAAATTCAAAAACTAAAAAATATATATATATATATATATATATATTTTTTTAGTTTCCCGCCTATATATATATATTTTTTCGGTTTACCGGCCGTATCCGGTTTCGTCCGACTAATCCGGACTTGATCCACGTTGTGCACCTGATAATAGTGGGTGAGTTTTTCAGTGGGCTACTGCATACACAAAGTCTCAAGATCTTATTTAAGTTAGAACAAATCACTTACTAGTTGATCTAAACCCTCGTTGATAAAACTAAAATATATTTAACATACTAGAAACTTTGCTGTTTATTCAAAATATCAACATTTATTTTAGAATATTAATATTTATGTTGAAATATTATATTTATATTATAATTAATTATATATTTTTAATCTAATTAATTTTATACTTTAAAAATATTTTATTATATAGATTTATATAACTTTTATACTTACAATGAAAAAAAAATTTCTTTAAATATTTTCTTTGCTTTTCTTTTTCTAACATAATATTAGAGTTATAAGAAAATCCTTCCTCTTCTTTTCTGTTTGGAGAGCAAAGGATTTGTGGAATTTTCAAAATGGGTTCGAGTCACAATGGAAAAGGTTAGGGCCTTAATCCAACTGTTGCCACTCTTGGGAGGGCTACAAATGAAGATATCACTTGGTTCAGCCTGGAAGAGTTCTTGAGCCAGAACGAGACCTTCTAAGAACGCATTGGAGACCCAAAAATAGAAGTAAAAGGGCAGGGTAGGTCCCCAGCCATTTTCTATAGGAAGTCTTTGAAATCGTGTTTTGCATTCTCTCCGTTGTTGCTGGTGAGATGGCTTGCTCCTCCGTTTTGGAGGCACTGCTAATAACTTGCTTCTGTGTCATGGCATTCACGTACAAGTGATGAGTATGATAAAAAGAGAAGTGCATTTAATCCTTTGGCTACAATCCCGCATTTATAATAACTAGTACCGCATTAATCATGTGGAGTTAAATTATTAATTATAAGATTTGAGAATCTATATAGTATAGAACATTGTAAATTGGTTAAATGTCAATTCTACAAAATATTTGGTTTGAGTGAAGAAGAAAGAAAAAGAAAGAGAAATAGAAAGATATAAGGCAGTCTGGTAGAACCTTTTCTAGAATTGCTCTTTTAGCAAAATTTTCAAAATTTTTATCTCTTATGTTTGAAAATTTTAGGAGGGAATATATGCTTTTTAGAAAAATAATATTGAAATAGCAACTTTTGCAAAAAGCAACAATCTATTGCTTCCTCCAAAACTTGCTATTTTAGCATTATTTTGCTAAAAAACACACTTTTTTTCTCAAAATATTTCAAACTCAAAAGAAAATGATTTTGAAATTTTTGCTAAAAAAGCAACTTTTAAGAAAATTGTAAAAGTGGAGGGATTAAAAAAATATAAATAGATTTAACAGTTTAACTTATTAATGAACCAAAAAAATATATTTTTTATAACTAAGGAATCCAAAAGTGCATAAAAAATTTTTAAAAAAAAAAAACTGTATAAAATCATTAAGAACCAAAATCGACATTTAATTTTTACTCTTTTGCTGCGCAAAAGCCTCCATCTCCACGCAAATCTAATTTTCACAGCACAAACGGCATCCCCACGAACCATAGCATTAATTTTCTCCCAGAATTTAAATGCTACGTTACAAATGTAAAAACAGATGCGTTGAATCTTCAAAATGTATAATTATACACATAACCCTACCGATCAAAAAAAAAATTATACACGTAACCCACAACTAGCCAAGCTATCTAGCATCATTGACTGTAGTAGCTTGATTCGTGCTTTATTTAAACTTTTTGAAATGGAAAGTTGGGTGCACGAGCATTTGCCCAATAATTGGTATCACAAGAAACACATCTTAATTAATATATATATATATATAATATATATATATTCACTTACATAATTGTATTAAATTTTGTGTTATTAATAAATATGTTAGGCTTATTAGGTCAATTTAAAAATTAATATACATTATTTATATTTATATTAACAGAATTTTTAATTCAATAATTAATTTTTAAAATTATTAATTAAAACATAATATTTTTGAAATGTCCTCTGCAGTGGACATCTTACCTATTACACTTTTCATATATATATATAAGGAATTCATTTACATATAACTTTTATACATTACATTTACATAAAATTTCAATAATTTATTTTTTTATTTTTAATTGTTAATATTTATTATGATTTTTTAGATAAAAACAATAATTATCTTTAATAAATATAAATAAATCTCAACAATTAAAAATGAAGAAATCAATGAATAGGATTTTATATAAATGTGGTAGATAAGATTTGTGTAAGTAAATTCTTGCTCATATATATAACTTCAAAGTTTTGTTTAACATCACTTTCAGAGATTATAAGATAACTATGCATAATTTCTTTTTAAGATATATTCCATTCAATTTTAGTAAGTTTATTTTTTTTATTTAATAAAATAAGAACGTAATAATTATTTGATTACATTTTATATTTATCTTTAATTAATTACTACTTAAACAAGTCTTATATATATAAATTATATTTTTAAAATAAAGTTAAAATAAGAATAAAGAGCATTAACTTTTATTTTAAAAATGAAAAATGGATAATTAACTTTGAAAGTCTCAAATTAAAAATTCAATCTACCATTAAAATTTAACAGAGAAGTATTTATTAAGATGACATTCAAATTTATTTCAAATATTCTGTATTCCATTTATTAAAGCTAGCTTACAATTCCAAAACCAATTCACACATAAAACCTTTGCTACCTTTTTATTTCCTCGATAATATAGAGATTAGAAAACGTTAGTTTGCGAATAATCAGCAGAGGCAGCAAAGGAATATTTTCCAAGACCCAAGCATGCAGATCAGAAGGCATTGAAGGTCAAGCCAGTGCCACTTAGTTTTTGTTCCATTATCTTCTTGAGACACTCTGTCATTTCAGGCGTAAGATGGTTCTTCCAATCCCCGACCTTACCTTTCCGAAAGAATATATTGTTTTGTAGCGTATTAAATAAGTTCTCCGACTTTCCTGTTTTGTTTACTTCCAAGTTACTAAGAAACTCAAAATTGCACATCTTTACTATTTTCTCCACCACCCCTTCTTGTTCTTCCTCAGGAGAAAAAGGGTATCCCATGAACTCTGCCATCTTCTTCACGTAATAAGCAGTATCTTTCATCATATCTTCATATTTGAGGAACAGTACAAAGATATATACAAAGATAATATGAGGGAATAAACGTGAAATAGATACCAAAAAAAAAAAAAAGTAATGAAAGTATAAAATAATATGAAAAAATGTCAATTTAAGAAAGAGAAATGAGGAGTGATACATGCATTAAATTAAGCTTGAATTAAAATTCATAACAATAATATAAGTATAGCATGATGCTTAAACAAACTAGAGAATTGAAGTTTCAGCAAAGAAAGATATTGAGAGAGATATGATCCTAATATAATAAGTTGAGAAAAATATAGTATGTGAATAGATAGTGATACGAGGTAAGGAGGAGATGACAAGGGAGAGAATGAATAATATCAAACAATTTATTAATATAAAGAGAAAAAATAGATATAGATGATTGATAAATTTTTTAATATAAAGAGAAAGAATAGATATAGATAATTGATAAATTTTTATCTTTTATTAATATTAAGATTACGAATGAGTTTCTTTTAATTTTTATTGTGATGCTTTAATGGAATAACATAGTTTGAGATGTTTTTTCTTTTAATATTTTTGGAAGTTTGTTGACAAAAATTAATTTTTAAGTTTTATATATAATTTTTGCACAAAAAATTAATTTTTTTATTTACCTACAGTAAATGATTAAGATTTATCTACTTTTTTTATCTTTTTTTAAAATAAAATTAAATGTTTTATCCTATAAAATGTCGTAACAAAACTTAATCATTAATAATAAAAAAATTGAATGGTTATGCTTTTGTGTAAGATACTTTTGTGTAAAAGGATGCTATATATCTATTCTTTAATAATAAGAATTCAAAAAATTGTAGTATAGTTTGGATTATATTAGATTGTAATACATTAATCATATTCAATAATTCTTATTGCCTCCAAGATGTGGTTTAATAATTAAGTGTTTAAAATTTTAAGTTGAAAATTTTAAATTTGAATTTTAAGTTTAAATCTTAAGTCAAGTAAGGAGAGATTTAGGAAAAAAAAAAGATATCTCCTTTTATATAACTCGAATTTATCATATATATAAAAAAATATTTAATATTTCTTATTTTATAGTCCGATATAGTTTATATAGTAAAACATAATAATTTTATAATAATTTCAAATTTTATTATAGTAGTTATATATTTTTCTTTTTGATCAGCAAAACGAAGATCAATATATTAATTTTGGGAGTACAAGGGATACTCCAACCCATATACAAAGATAAAATCCTATATTGGCATTTTCAGAACAGACCAACCAGCCAAAATTAGCATAGCTGACCTGAACCAGCAACTCATGCATGTCTATATGAAGACCTCATATTAAACGTTGATGCTGCTTTTGGAAACCCTTCAACATCCTCTTATACCGTCTAACAGCCAAGGCACAATCAATTGGATTCATCTGCCACTCATACAAAGAAAAAGCACATCCATGCACCTTATTTTTAACCCAGAAAAAAGACTTCATTTGTATCTTATCTAACAAGCACTCCTGCATACTCCCATAATTCTGAAAAACACAAGCATTCCATTATAGTAGTTATATAGTTATTCCAATTTATTATTGATCAATTACAAAGGCAGTCCCACCAAAACTAGCCACGTAAACAAACTATCAGTGCAATTTGTTTACAATTAAATAATTTTTTTTTAAAAAATTTAAATGACACAAACCTACTTTGTTCTTAAAATGCAAAATTGTTGGTCCATTTAGTTGGGCTTTAAAATACACTTTATTAGGCATTTTTGAATCAATTTAGAGAACACAAATTTTAATTTAACATAGATACGCAACCACTAATGAGATTAACAGAGGTTTGATTTTCTAATAATAAATTGTTATCTTATAAAAAATTTAATTTCACTGTTCAAGTAAATCTCTTGACATTCTAGGGAAGGTTGGGAAAACTTCCCAACAACAAACACAACCTAAAAATATGGAGATTCTGAATCAGAAAAGAGAATTTATCTAGAAAATTAGAGATGCTCCAAATCCGAAACAAGTTCAAAAC